CAATTTAGAATATTTTTGATGTGTTTGGGGATTGCCCCAGTTTAAAAGGTCAAATTAAAATATTTAATAAATTAAATGAATTACTAAACAATGATTATCAATGGAAATGGGTTTAAAATCCTTTATTTCTGCACTATACTTAAGAGGGTTGCCACCTGCTTTGAAAGTCGTTTTTACTTTAGTTATACATAAGCTACATTAAATGGGTTTGAAAATAATTTATTTCTGAACTGTATTTAGAAGAGTTGTCATGTGCTTTAAAAATCCTTCCAACTTCCCTTAGTTAACTGATGAACTCATTGAAATATGTATAACAATTCCAGACGATAAATAGAGTTTAGTTTGAAAATACTTTTGAAGAGGTTGCCGCCTGTTTGACAAGTCGAATTTGTTTTACTTATACAGAACATACATAAATGAAATATCGAAATATTAGTGTCAAACGAAAGAGTTTTCAGAAAACTTTAGGCCGATAATATTTCTAATTAGGGCTCCCACCAATTTTTTGAAGGTTATCACATCTGCACAGTTATTTCGAATTTAAAAAATTAGAAGTCAAATTAAAGAATTGGGATTCTACATAGATTTGCACAGGTTTTATTTTTTGAAGTTACAGGAAGATTTGAAATTTGATGTAATGAAACCGACACCATGCGAGACCCCTCATCGATGGAAATGGTTTAGATTATTCATTAGGAATATTTTTAGAGGTTTTTGAATAGGGTTTCACCTGTTTAAAAAATTCAATTAACTGTTGGCGTTTTGACGCCATGCGGGTTCACTAGTTTTGTTTTTAATATTTGAAGCTGGCGTACTATATCCGCAATATTGGCTTAGCCATTTTTAATTTCGCGATTTTGCCATTAGAACAGTATAAGGCGACCCCAAAAACCCTTTAAAAAAACTTTACCTAAAAGATGCATATATGTATACAGTTTAGGATAGCAGCCGCCATTTTAATTATTTATTTAGTTCATAAAGGTTAATTAGGCCTAGCTTAAACTTATATATACTTATTGGAACGGCCACTTAAATTTCAATATTCTATCAAAATCGGATATAACGACCTTATTATCGTTTTTTACCATCTTTAAAATCTGAAATTTTTGAGAATCTAATTATCACATAACACATACATATGTACATTAGGGTGGTCCAAAAATGCATGTGGGAAAAGTAAAGTCGGAATTTTAATGCCGCCACCCCCTACGATTGTTCTATGCCGAAAAAAATATACCCCAATATTTTAGTTTGAGAAAAAAAATAAGGAGTGCCCAAAGCGCTCAAAGCGCAATTGTTTCTTTAACCACTTTTTCATGATAACTATATTTCATAGGTCCGCCAAAACCCCCCAGAAAATGCAATGGGGGGGGGACCAATAAAAAATCTTTAGTATCACAAATCTTTAGTATCCAATGGAAAAATATTGAATTTTAAGAATTTTGTACCATTTCTACGAAAAGTTATTTTTTCCCCATATAAAATACATGGAAAACTTTGAGCGCTTTGAGCACTCCCTAAATATTTTTTGATTTAAAAAATAAAAATATAGGGGTATATTTTTTATCGGTATAGAATAATCCTAGGGGATGGCGGTATTGAAATTCCGACTTTATTGTTTTTGGACCACTCTAATGTACATATAAAATATATATTAAAGTTTCGAGGGCCCTCTGCAATAACGATACAATTCAGTCGTCTTCATTCATTGGTCTTTCACCAAAATCGCGAAATGCCATATGTGTTAAAATTACACTTCCATTTTTATTGGAGTATTGCCACAGAAAACTCTAGTTCACTTTAATGAACGAACTAATGAACTAGTTCAATTAAAAGTGCTGGCTCTTTCGCTCTTTAGTTCAAAAGCTCCCCAAGCCTAATGAAAATGATAGGTGCCGCATACGCACTGTTGTCCAGGAGTGAGTAAGCATTTTACGAAGGTAAATCTTTCTTTTTGGCTCGCATGTAAGCAAACACTAATTCTTCTGCTGAATACAAAAAAAAAACTACTAACGTCGTTATCAACATCAACAACAGCGCACAACAGCAGTGTGGAAATGAACGTCAGCATCTGCAGCATCAGCAGTTTTATTGCTGCTGTTTCTCTGCTTCAATGCTTGCAGCAAGCAGCTTTTACGCTCCGCTATTCCATTTCACACTTAATTTGATAAGCGTTGCGTACGTGCGTTTCGCATCACTAGCAAGAGGAATGTTTTTCACAAATACACCTGCATGCGATAGGTTTTTTAGTGGTAGCCTTGCAATGTGCATTAGACTGCATCACTCCCCATACAAAAAAAAAATCGGTACTGTCGGTATTATAAAATCTATTACATTTTAAGACGCCCACCAAAATATTTCGGAAAAATATTAAGATTTACGTGAGGTGTACCGATTTGAATATACCTCCAAAAATTGACTTTTGTTATGAAGAAAAATAGTTTCTTAAGGATTTTTTTTTGAAAATCTCTTGAAATGACAAAACGGTTTAAGCTTAAGAAATTTGCATAAAAATATTAAATTTTTTTTTTGTAAGAAACTATTTTTATTCATAAAAAACTTCATTTGGAGGTATTTTCAAATCAGTCCAGCTCACTCAAATCTTAATATTTTCCCGAAATATTTTGTTGGGCATCTTAAATTATAATAGATTTTGTAATACCGACGGAAAAACCACAACTTTTTTTGGTGATGCAGTCTAATGTATGTACATCCATAGAGTGGTTGTTCTTCTGTGCTGGCATGCGTTGGCACATACATAGATATGTATGTATCTTCTCCACTTCTGATGATGATTTGTTCTGCTCCACTGCACTACACCGGACACTTTAGTGATTTTTTCTGCTATGTCATGTCTATGTTTCTTATCTGTGCTGTGTCCATTGCAGGCTTTTTGTTGCTGCCGCTTTCCTCTTCATTACCTGTGCTGCTTTTATTGCTGTATATTTTCACATTTTCTACGCAGCGTACTTGAATATGTTAGTTTGGTATGTACGTCCGTCCGTCCGTCCGTCCGTCCGTTCGTCTTGCATGCATAATCACCCAATAAGCGTATAAAAAGTTACTTTTCCGCCTATCTTATTTTCGAACTAGCCGCGGTTGGTGTGGGTAGAATAGCAGCAGCAGCAGCAGCAGCAGCTACAGGACCAAGGTAATGCTAATAGGAGGCAGAGACTGAAAACCAAAATGTGTGCAAAGGCAAAAGTTTTACGCATTTGCTGACGGAACTTTTGCAACTTTTTTTTTTTTGAGCGCTGCCCTAACTTTCTGCTATATTCCGTGCGTCATTTTATAGATGTCTCTTTTATTTACTCTCAAATAAGCTTTAATATTACTAAATAATAATTCTATGTTCAAATAAAGATGACGTAAGCGTATATTAAATGGAATCGACACGTTTGTATATACATACAGTGGTCTAAATAATTATAGCCGCATCATACTTTAGCAAGTTTTAACATATTACTTTTGTTGTTATTTAATTTTGGTTCTTTTTTTTATAAAAATGTAGTCAATTACTTAACAAAACTCGTGTAAATCTAAGTTAAAAACTTTGTGCAATATTAAAAAAAAAAAACTTTCGTAAAAATTTCGAACTTTTTTTAATTAGACTTCCTAGAAAGATTATGAGTATGCAGTTTTGTAGCCCATTGAATTCTAGTGGAACACAGTTAGGGTCAAATAAAGTTACGGTTCCTTTTGATCAAAATCTATACAAATGAAAATGAAATGTCTTTCGTATTATTAACGGCTACATCGATTTCGAAGTACTTTTTTTGAAGATTCTGTGCGGAAGGTTTTTCTATAAAAAAAAAAATTCAAAACTTTTTATTGTTATTGCCGAAGAAGAGAAATTTTCGAACAGTGTACATTTTTGTCACTGAACATATTTTTGAAAAGATGCGCAATTATAAAAGCTTTTTCAATTTTGTGTTCGCTAAAGTTTGTTCGCGAGTAAAATTTTAACTGAAAATAAATTTCATCGAGTTAGCTCCATACCGAAGACAACAATTAAAAGTTATTTAAAATCATAAGCTTCACTGGAGCATGAGCTTTCAAAATCGATGCTTGAAAGCCTTCACTGATATGATCTTTATAGGGTTTCAGTGCTAGACAACGGCATAGCTGAAATGGTTACAGTGGCTGAACATTTTAATTCCCGTCACAGTTGTTATGCTTGGCAACCCCATTTACACTCAGAAGTTCTAATAAAACTTGATAGAGATCTTCAATAAATATTTGGATGCAAAGCGTGTAAAGTAAAGTTCAAAGCGATCGGCCTCTGCTGGACAATATTTTCCTCGGGGAAGATTCATTTGTTGAGAAGTAATGATCTAGAGTTGCTCGTATCGTATTTTTATCACTGTGACAGTTTTTATATTCCTCCTAGTTTTTTTTTTTATATTTAAATATCGCGTGACATAGTGGGCAGCGTGAATAACCAAAAACAAAAAAAAAATTTTTGTAAAAAAAAATATTTAAAAAACTATTGTTGTTTTTGTGTTATGTAGCTTAAAGCCCTCATTCATAAAAGATAAAGTAGCTTTAAAAAACTTTATAAAATGACATTCTCATAAAAATTTTCGATTTATAAAGCATTTAAGTTCTACTTTATTTTTTATGAATTTGGGGGTAAATATTTATCTACAAAGGTGTTAAAATTACAATCGGTTATCTAACTATTATTGTTTAGAAGAAATTAACTTATATATTTTGTCATACTTTAACATATAGCTGTCAATATCATTATAAGTAATTTAAAATGTTTTTCTTTTCAAAATTCATGCCTTGGCGAAATTTTCGAGGTACAGTGTACTCAGATACCTGCGCTCTTTACAACCCTGTGTGCTATACGTATCACTTTCATGCATATCAAAAGAAATATCATCACGCATACACACCAGCCACTGTTCACTTAAGCACTTAGTAGCTGCTTGAGTAGTTATCTCTACATATGTTTATCAAAGTATAAATGGCTGCTTAGATATTATCGAACTTACCCTATCACCTTTCTCGCCAGTCATTCCTGGATCTCCACGTTCGCCCTTCTGACCCTGCTGACCGCGTTCGCCCAACGCTCCGGCATCACCTTTATCTCCAGGCGGTCCCTTGGGTCCTGGCGAAGAGCTGCGCATCGGACGCATTGAATTGCCCATTAAGGATTCCTGTGTATTTATGTTTGTTTGGGTTTTGTTTTTTTTGTGTTCATTTACATTTCAAAGCCACGCATGTTATGAATGTGTGTGTGTGTGTGTGTGTGAGTGTGCATTGGAAAGTAGAAAAATTAGAAAAATATGTTAGAAAAGTTTGCCGAATAGCAGTTGCAGGGTAAGGAAAGTTAAAAAAGATTGGAATGTAACCACATATGTATATACGTATACATATATTCAAAGCTAGTGCTTTGCCTTTTTTAAGCTTATGCACTAATACACACGCATGAGTCCTGTCAACTGCCTACGCTTCCCGATTTAATTTCTTTATTTTTACGACTTTTCTTCGTTTTATTTTTCTAACCTCTACGAATTTTGCTTGCTGCAATTTTCTTTGCATTTCAGCTTATCTCTTTGGGTTCGGGTGCTGTTATTAGTACCTTTTGATTACCTTTTCTTTTTTGCTTGGCTTGTTTGCCAGGTATCCTTTTGGATATGTGATAAGCACGTTTTGATTAATGATGCCACATTCACAAGAAAATCCCATTTTACTATTACGACACGTTTTTATTATTACTATAAATGTTGTTGTTGTTATTGCTATGTATAGTTGTTGTTGTTGTCATCTTTATCGCTTTAGCAACCTCTCAGAGCTAATGTGTATAACCCTTAATTTAACTTTTGTTTGCCTGCCAAACTTACAAACTACACCAATACACCTGCGGTTCGATGCACATAGACGAACACATACATACATATATTCAAATATTATATATACATATGTATGTATTCTAACTCGATTAGCATTGTGTGCGCCTGTTGACAAGGGACTGCCGCTTAATTTTAAGCTACATACGTAGTTCCTGATACCAAATAGTGTTGAAAGATTTAGGTATGTACTTTTTGGTTGAACTTTTTTATTTTTCTATTTTTGGAAAACAATCAGGTAGTTTTAGTTGTAAAAAACACACCACTCCCAATGGAAATTTGTGTGAGATCAAATCTAATCTAAGCCCTTGTTTGTCGACTTTTCATGTTTGCCATTTTAGTTTGATTTCTCCTAATTCTAGGGCACACTAACGAGCGTAAGTATGTCTGTGTCACTGCAGGCATATACGTAGTACATACTTATTGCAGGACTAGGAATATGTGGTAGCGATAAAAAAAGACTTAGTGCAAGTATTTTTATTATTACAACGCTTTTATCAACTTGCAATATTGTGTGTCCAGTTACTTGCAATGTTGTTTGTCCAGACAGCTATAAAACCTCTTTTTTGCAAAGTTCCTATAAAAAAGTCTAGACATCAACCTCGTCGGTTGAGAGGTAGATGTCGCCCTATGCTCTACGTACGCTACAGCGGAAATGGACGACACGCCATTTCTTGAAATAAAATTAATTGGTGCTCGTATCTATATACATACATATGTATATGCGTGTGTGTGCACCAATCTCTTAATATCGTTAAATAATTTTAATATCAATTGCAAAATCTTATACAGACAAGACTAAAAAGTACAAAATAAATAATATAAAAAAAAATGTTTAATATACAACGCTTTTATAAATGGACTAAAAAGTAGAAAATAATATTTCTCAGTCCCATAGAATTCGTTTTGATAACTTTTGATTTTGAAATTTTAGCAAAAGTCATTATAGACCATTTATGAGATTGATTGCGTGGGTCGCATGTAATAGACCTGAATTGACATGAAGGGTAATACATATATGTATGAATGTGGATATATGCATAACGACCGCTTAAAATCGATCTCAAATTTGTACCTTCTCTGTAGAAATTTGAGGTCTATGTTATGTAGTTTGACTTAATTGTCAATTATGTAAATCGAATGCTTTGTATTGCATGCGCTCCACGTCAGGTTTTAAGAGCTCGAAATGCGGGTTCCAAAATGGCGCATAGAATTAAAAAAAATTTTATAATTTTTGTAAAATATGATATTCAAAGTTTGAGTCACTGATTGCAAAATTTAGTTCCTAAAAGCCTTTCGATATCGAATTTCATAGAATTCTGAAAATTTTCCAAAAACCCGTCCGCCATATTAGATCCGCCATTTTGAATTTGTAAATATATTTGGTTGGTCCAAATAGAAAACGTGAATGACTTGCTCTAGAAAAATGGTTCCACTTTCCAAAAATTTCGTTTTTTTCCATGAGTGCATAAAAAGTTTAATTTTGTGGGACGGTGTTAAATTAGGTTAGGTAAGGTGGCTGCCCTGTGTAACCGGAGCTCACTTAGACAATGTAAGATTGTCCTTTGTGATACCATAATTTGGAACAGCCCCCTAAACTTTAACGTTAAAATGCTCTGCGCCGATTATGTATTTACGAATACGGCTGATCTCAATGTCCCAGAGTTCCTCGGGGCTATTTAGAAAGTGAGAGTCAAAGTACTTCAACCTTAGCCTCGTGATTCTACCTCGTCCTCTTCCAGGCAACTGCGACGTAAGGGGTCCGGCAGAATGTTCAGCCACACTGCGTGAATACCGATAGGACAGTGATCCGTTAAAACCCCCACCAGAAGTGAGAGCTGTGGCTTAGTGAGTGTGAGGAGTGCCCCCGACTTCCCACGGTTCACCCTCCAAGGCCAAAAGGACCTTGCGATCGCGCATGTCGTGGTATTCGCCCAGCTCTCGCTGAGCTGACATGAGGCTCACCTGTCCAGGAGTGTACCGCAAGTGATCAGTGGCACCCCCAGCCGCTCTTTATCCGGTGATAACGTTTCACAGGTGGGACGGTGTTATAGTTCTCTCTTTTTTAATGGCGTAAGTCAGGTTTAGGCGAACTCTGCGCTCATTGATAGTCAACTATTTTTCATTATCAGAATATAGCGGGGCTGAGGAAGATAATGCTTTGGCTTAGGCCGATGCAACTTAGCCGCCCGTTATTATGCCAAATATTGTCTAAATCTAGGAAACTGAAGGTTTTCTAATACACTGCAAGGACTACAATATATAATTTTTAACATTCGCATAGGAAGAAAGTAGTTCGATTATTTGCGGGAGTCTTTGCAGGAAATTGTTTTATTCCTTCGCACGCGAGCAAAAGGGTCCAATTCAGAGATTCGAATGCAAAATAAGTGTCGAGAGAAATATATTAGTGTGAATGCCATTTCTACAAATGGTTGAGGGTAAATAATTGCTGACCAGCCTTCCCCTCGTTAAAAACATATCTCTTTTTAAGAGAAAGTAATATTTTGCTCCCAACAAACAAAAAAGGATAAATTTAATATTAAAAGTGGCATTCTTAACTTATTTCCAGCTGTTTCAATTACGCTTTAACGATTGTGAGCCACGTCTGGTTTTTGATAACATACTTTTATGCGTACTTTGTGTGTTAAATATATTTTAACATAGCTACAATTTTATTGGGATTTAATTTTTTTATTAGACTCGTATTCTATTTCGTATATTCTGCTATTTTGCAAAATATTCCGAGACTAATAATATAATTTATACGCCTACAAAATTCAATTTCCATTTGGCCAGACGCGAAAAAAAATCATTCACAGTAAAACTTCCATAATAATGACTTGGTAAATGGCAGATCAAATGTGGGCAATCACGACGCAACAGACAGGGTTAATTTGCTTTGGCAACAACCGCAATAAAGCAGAGTTAAAATAAGAAGCGTATAAAAGCAAATGGCAGCCGTCGCACATAATGGATATTAACATATGAATGTACATATGTACATACATCTAAATATGTACGCGCCAATATTTGTTGCTTTATTTGTTTGCATTTTTCTTCTTTCATTTTCACGTTCCTCCGTGCATGGATGTACAGAATGGTACACGCGTATGCAAAAATAATAGTAATAATAATAATATTGCATGCTGTTACGAGCTGTAACAACAACAACAAACAGCAGCGATGAAAACAACAAACAAACAACAACCATAACAATTTTATTAATAACAAGAAAAGCAAAAAAAAAAATTAACTGCAGCTAGCAAACTCTTTTCCTGCTTCGCAACATCATTGCATTGCTTTTATGTATGTATGAAGGTAGACGTGTGTGGCATATAAACGTGCGGCATGCATATGCATTAGGGTGGTCCAAGATAGCATGTGAAAAAAGCAAAGTCCGAAGTTTAATGCGCTAGGATTGTTCCAACTCAATTAGTATTCAGAGGTCGCTCAAAGCGGTTAAAAGTTTTTCATGTTTTTTATATGAGTAAAAAACAAACAATTTTTAAAAATCAATATTTTTCGATCGGGATACTCAGTTTCACTTCAGAGATTTCCAATAATAATACCCGATTTTTTTCCATTTTTTATTATGAATGAATTTTTATGGTTCCCCATTTTGTTTTCTATGTTACTATTCAAAAATGGTAAACCAAACAATCTTGTATTATTATTATTGGTAGTCTCCTGAAGAGAAACAAAGTTTTCCGATCGAAAGTATTAATTTTCAAGTATTCTATAATATTTCTACGAAAAGTTTTTTTCCCCATTTTAATTACACGTAAAATTTCATGCGTACTGAGCGGCCTCTAAGTAATTTTTGATTGCAAAATAAAAAAACAGGGCTATCTATATTTTTGCGGTATAGAAAAATCCTAGCAGGTGGGAGAATTAAAATTCCAACTTAACTTATTTTGAGCCACCCTAATGTGCATACATTTATTTGCATGGCGGTATATGCATACAGTCAGCTGTCAGCAGCTTTAGCATCAATGTCGTTCGCACACACACACACACACACACAAACCCATGCTCGCATAATAGTTACTGCCGCATAAAAATGCATCCTGTATTTCTCTGTCTGGCTGACTGCCTGGCTATATAACGCTTGGCATTTCCGCTCGACAACCACACAGCCGCACACACAATAACCACAGCTATGGCTGCATGCCATTTTGCCAGCCACATATCCACATTTGCTGACACCGCAAACGTTCTGGCATACGCATGACGTATGAGTGATATTTTTGCAGCAATGGCAAATGTATAAAAGTTTTTTTGCATATTCGTGTAGTATCTCATAACTT